TTCTTGGTGGTTGCTCGCCTGGGCGGAGGAATAATGTCTTCTGCGTGTAATGTTTTGCTAGAACAGGTGGCAACTTACTGGTCATGTTACGCTTGCCTTCTAATGCTAAAGCCAAACATCGCAGTACTTGGTCATGGCGCCAAGTAAACCGACCTTGGCTAAGAGCCACCTTACATCCTGTCAAAATGTGCCTTAATGTGGCAGGTGATGAACACAAAGGACAAGAGGGATCCTCTCCTACCCAGAGGTGTAGGTTCTGCGGTGATGGGAGAACATCATATGTTGACCTAATAAGGAAACTGATCCTACTCTCTTCCATTGACCAAAGGTCTTGCCAGCCCATCTTACGTTGTTCCACACTCTCCCATCTCATCCACTCTCCCAGCTTGGCCTGGGAAATGGCCTTTATACACCTCATCCTCTCCTCCTGCTTTCTCACCTCGTTGACTACCAGCTTCCTCCTTTGAGCTGGGCCTGCCTTGTGCCATTTAGGAGGAGCTAAACTGAGCCCAAAACCCCCTCTTCCATGCTGTACCTGTCCCACGATATCCCTAATTTGAAGGGCAGCCTTTGCCTCTACTACAGATTTCTTTGCTGACCAATTTCTACCAGTTTTTAACACAGGGGCTGCCTCCCTTACACATTTGTCGCGTGACTCTACTAAGGTCATTTCCAGTCTGACCTTGGCACACTTGAACTCCTCGGTTAAAGCAGAGACTGGCAGCTGCAATATTCCTTTACTATAAAGTCCTACTCTGCTGAGGCAGCGTGGAACTCCCAACCATTTCCTGATGTATGAACTTATCAACGCTTCCAGCTTATCCACTGTTGTCAAAGAAACGTCGTACACGGTCAGTTAAATAGCAACTTCTTTTTAAGGCGAGACACTACAGGTGAATAGGGTAATTTTTTTAACTAGCAGATATCACCATGAAACTTTCCCAGTTGATTACCTACATTAAGATGAGAAAAAAATGTATTACAAGTTTCCTGTAATTGAATGTTTAAATATGCAAATTAGGCATTATCTAATTAAATATGTGCTAATTTGCAAATATTTAAAAAAATTAAATCTGAGTATTGGATAAAGCCAGGTTCAAAATTATTTTTTCATTGTGTTCACATATTAGATGGGAACAAAATGATAGAGGGATTTATGGATATCTACTTTTGTTATCCTATAAATCAGAATCAATAGCCTTAAAAAAATTATTTTTGCCATGTTTTTTGGAATAAAATGTTATATAAATCGGGCTAGGAATAATATATTTACAAATCACTCTGTAAATGTCTTCATAATATAAGTACAAGACTGTAAAGTTTGGTGTATGCTACCAAAGTGGAGATTTCGGACTTTGAGTATGAGAGAAAAGTCATTTTGAGAAAACGGGCTTTAAAGATTTAGCATCAGCCAATGAGATTGCGCATTTGCGCCCTTTTACTTTCACGATTGGTTGCTGATAAAAACGAAATGACCATATTTGGATCCAACAACATTGTACAAGAGAGAGAGAGAGAGCGTCAGCTTTCTAACGGTGTGTGTGATGACAGGGTGCAGATGCAGATTGCAATGGTGTCGCTGGTGTTGCAAACGTTCTATTGGCTTTCACTTCTTGTCAATACGTTCTTTGGTGTGGGTGAACTGTCCAAATACTTTTTAAGGGACACACAGGACAAGTCGACTCTTATATGAATGTATTCCAGAATGTATTTATCCAACGTTAGTCCTATTACAAAAATATGATATTTGGGATTTCAGTTTTCAGTTTGGGATTTTGACAACTGCACAAATATGAATACAACTAGGCCTATACTCATTTGGACTATATGGGCTAATTCAGATTTAATGTTTCTAATCTTCAGATGTGATCATATTTCAGGTTTGAATTTCCCTATTGCTCATTCTCTTCCTTTTTTGACTCATTGAAACTTTGGTCACCAGTCCAATTAGATGATTTTTTCATTCACCTGAAGTGGGAAGTAGTTGTGCTTTTTCTCACACTCACATGAGGGTGGCAGACATCGCTTTCATCATGAGAATCAGTGTGCGTCCTAATACAGCCTAAACGGTTCAGAAATCATATAGGCTACTTTACAGAATAGATTTGTTCTTTGGACCAACACTGAAAAAAATCAGAGCCATCATGAGTGCTGTGCAACTGGTGCGTCTGCACCGCCCGGGCACCGGACAGCCCACAGTGCCAATTTAATGTATTCTTTTTGCCTTTCTTTGCATCTGAAAAGTTCTGTTTAAAATGATTATTGATAGGCCTACAAATATTTATTGTGACTTTTTAAAATTATTATTATAATGTGTAGAGAATGCAGTCTTTAGCGTAATTTTTAGAGTTCTCGCATGCCAGCGATCGAGCTTCGAGAATAACTCAGAGCAGGGCAGTTAGGATTGGAGGGTGAGTTTTGGAGGCGGAGCAATGAAGAGAGGGGTGTATTTGTTTGGGTTGATTTCAAATATCACCAATGTCCAACAGCGTTTTTGAATCGCTTACCCCACCAGGTATTTTGAGATCATAGGGAGACTGACTTGATTGCATCATTCACAGTGCCTCATGGGAGTGAGCAGAGCTAAAGAGCTCTTTTGGCGTATTTTGCTTGTCGCGGCTCTCTGATTGGTGGAATTTTCTGAACAGAAATCCCCCTGAAATTATGGGTAAAGTAGTTTTTCCACCACAAAATCCGCTGTTAAACACGATTATTTTAGAAATAATTATTTTAGATACCGGTTGCAATATTGCAGGATGATGGCTTCAACAGAAGCAATTACCATCGATTAACAATGTTGTTGCTCACAGTAGGGCTGTTTTCTAAAGATTTCGCCAAAGTTCGTAATAGTTTAAGTTATCGCCAAAAATCAATTTCCCTATGGACAGTTTTTACTTCCAGAACCTGACTTTTGCACTCTATTGCAAGGACTCTGGAGATCACTCAAATGAACAATTGATAAAGTTTGGCTTGCTGAATATTAGATCCCTTTCTACTAAAGCACTTATTAATTGTTAATGATATGATCACAGATCACAACCTAGATGTGCTCAGTTTGACAGCTGATGTGCACCGTACCCGAGTGCTGCCTAATTTACTGCTCCACCCATATATGTATCTCTCTGCACCTCCTGCTACCTTACACTAGCAGGCGCCCTACTGTCCTCACTCGAGGCACGCAGGCGTAGACACCCATTAATGTAGACATGCCAATTACTATATGTAGACAGTCGCAGACCCTGACCCATCAACATTGTACATACCAGAATGAGTTTTATGCGTATGGGACGCCCTTATGACACAGCAGTTTTGACTCTCCAGACCTTTATACTTCCTCACGAAGGTCCATCTACTTCAACATGCCCATTTTATTCTTCCTCTTAATCAAAAGATTCCTCAAGGAAATGAATTATAAAGAAACAAGCAACCACTGTATTCCTAAGGCATATTGTTATGCTCTATTATACAGCGAGTATTTGTTGTAAATAAGTTGTGTAAAGATGGTAGCTTGAAGGTTGGAGACAGGCTATTTCTGTCATTTAGACATTTTTCTATTGTATGTGTAATAAATTCAGACTCAGATTATGTAAAAAATAAATTTTATTTGAAATTACAGCAAAATATTAACCCAAATGAGTTGTGTAAAACTGGAACAATTAGCAAATTAAAAAAAATGGTTGAAAAAAATGGTCGAAAGGCTGATAAAGAGGTTAACAAGACTTTGTTCTGACTTAATTCATTCTTCATTTTCACAAGACCAATTTTACATAAAGGCAACAGAGTTAAAATAATATTTTTATATATATAGTTTCCTATAAAGGTATCTGCCACGATCAGGTAACCCAGCTTTATTTCCTCCCCAAAGTCAAATTTGGCGTTTGGACCTTGTCTGCAGGTGAATCACATGCAGATACTTTGGGCTTCAAATATTAAATGGAGGGCCTTATAGTGTAACTCTACTTTGAGAAGTCACTTACCTGGTATTACTTACCTGGTGAAACTGGTAAAACGAGAGGCTTAATGTCTAGAACTGAAGCATAAAAGCATTAATGTTTCCAAATGATCAAGTTTCCCTGATAAAACAACACATTGTGTTTATTTTCAGAAACATTTTGTTTTTAATGTGGCACACAGGTGTATATATAAATTGGCTGGAACTTCTTTGGCAACTGTGGGATGAACCTCTGCACCATAAGGAGGAAAGTTTGTAGTCATGTCAGGAACCTCTGGGAAGCTTAGCAACCTGAGCTTCTTTGACACGGAGCTCTAGAACCGTAGCAGGGACTGGAGTTGCAGCAGAATGAACCTTCACAGTGATTCTGTGGATCCTCAGCAGGTTTTGGAGCAGCAGTGACAGGAAACTTTATGGCTGTCTTCACTGGGAATTCTGGAGCATCCCTGACAGGATCTCTGGGCCCAAGGCAGCTGAGAAAGAGAGCTATGTGAAACCCCCTCTCTGGGACCCGGATGCCAGTGGCAGAAACTTCTAGGGCGTCAGTGCGAGGAACTTGTGGGACGGGCTGAACAGAGAGCTCTGGGTGACTCCATTGTTAAAAATATGATTGGATGGTGCAGTACTTAACTACAACTAAGTGAACTATTTACAATATACATCCCTAGGCAAGTAGTTCCGCAAGACGCTAAAACTACCACCTCAAGCCAAGGCGCCAGACGCAACCGAGGCCTTCCAGCCCCGCAAGACGCTGAGGCTGGAGAGATGGAGGGGCTAACTTAACTAAGTAAAACTAAACTAACTATTTACAATATGCACACATCCCTAGGCAAGTAGTTCCGCAAGACGCTAAAACTACTGCCTCAAGCCAAGGCGCCAGACGCAACCGAGGCCTGCCAGCCCCGCAAGACGCTGAGGCTGGAGAGATGGAGGGGTCTTCTGTGTCAGCCCGCCAGACGCAAGGCTAAACCCTCTCCATGACCTGAAACACAATTAGAAAGCATTTTTCATAAGGTATAAAAAATACATCTGTGCCATGTATAGGATTGAGTATATGACAGTTAGAGCAGGTACTGAATGGGAATGTAAAGAAGCTGATGTCCATATTCAGATAATCAAGCCAAATTAACAAAAAGCCCCAAAATAGGCAAATATAAATATATCTTCAAAATCATTTTAGCTTGTCTTAGACTCTGTACCTTGAACCAGTCATGGGAGAGCATCTCATCCAGATGGAGTCTCCGCTTTGGGTCGCTCTTCAGGCAACCTCGAATAAACCGACAGCATTCTGTGCAGAAAGATTGAGAGTTGTCTAATTATTTCCTTCAACTTTACACTTGCTCTCTAAGCTGTAAAAATGGGAAAGATTCCTGCATTATCCATAAGAACATCTTTTTTGTTCTAACCATCTGAGAAGCCCGGCTGGAACCAGACATCAGGGTCCATCAAAGCTATATCTCTGCTGTCTGGGAAACGGCAGCCGATCATGGCAAACAGCAGCACCCCCAGCGACCACACCGTTGCCTGCTTCCCATAGTACTCGCCCTTCTCAAAGTACTCAGGAGGGCAATACCTTGCTGTGCCTGGAGATAAGAGTTTGTCACAAGTGTAAGCAGGCTTTTTTAATTTTAGCCAACAAAAATAATATTAATATTGACTATTCTTTGAGAGTTTTGTTAGTGTATTGTTAATATCTCACTGTGTGATGTCTGATTAAGACATGGTGTAACTGGTCACTAGAGTTTAAATCCTAAAATATATGTTTTAAAGATAACACATACCAGAGTAGTTTTTGTAGGATGAGCTTTTCATGAGGTCCCCGCAGCCGAAATCGATCAATTTGACCTCCAGGGTCTCTGTGTTGACCAGGAGGTTCGGCATTTTGATGTCTCTATGTAGAACACCCCTAGAACAGCACAGGGCAGCAGCCTCGATCACCTGCCACATGAAGTGACGGGCCAATCTCTCACTGAAGCGGCCTCTGGAATGCTGCCAAAAGCTGTGCATGTCCATGCAGGGTGAGGGCCGTTCTAAGACCATGATGTACAGGTCGAGATGGTCCTGCCAGTCCAGCACCTTTATAATATGGCGACAGCGTGGGCCTTGATTGGCCATTACTGTCAGGGCCACCTCAAGTGGAACTGGTCTGGGATGGTCAGGCTAGAAGAATGACAGTTTTTATTATTGTTAGATATAGGATTGGTTTCTAAAATAAGGATTTAGCCCAGTCTGTCTATCTATTGAAATATTTTCACTCTGTGATTTACATTAAAATGTTATAAATTGCAAACATAGAGAGTACAGTCTACGTACAAGGTTGATGTATGGCTCGTTCTCTGTCTTCACTGTGAATTTCACAGCTACCATGAGGCCGTCCTTGCAACGGGTCCCCTCAAAGACAGAGCCAAATGCTCCTTCCCCCAATTTCTTGCCAATGGCATATTTCCAGCAAATGTGATCTATTAAAACAGAATTCTTTTTATTTGTTTACTGTTTAATAAAGCAGTGTCCCACAGTGAGGCCATACTTTCTAATGAAATGTTAATCGGTAATATTTTTACTTTTAAAAATTCATTAGTCGCATGACTATTTAAGTGAACTGCAAAAAACGCCAAATGGTGATTTAAAATTATGGAGGAAAAAAAACCTAAACGAAACCTTACAGCGGAAACGGCGGCATTAGAGAGAGTGTGTGTGTGTGTGTGTGTGTCATATTTTATGTCAGACAGTAAACTCACCCTCGGCCCTCACGATCTTGTCACAGTCCAGCTGTCTCAGCAGATGTGATCCAGTGTCACCTGATGATGATCTGGCTGGACTGTCCCGATCTTGAGGCTTGACGTCCTCCACTTGCTGGTTTTCGGCAGTGGGGGGGACTTCAGGACTACTGGAAGGAGGAGGTTCCTGATGATCATTATCCTCTACAGTAAAGATGATGTCCTGTAAAGAAGTCTGATCTAAAGAGAGGAATATCAACCACAAGCTTGTTTTAAATCATATCATCCGTCACATCTTCAAACTATATTTCATCTATATTCAAACATTCATCACATCGTGGAATAAAGTCATTTATCTGCCTTTTCATAATGTGTGATGTGGGTTTTTTATATTGTGTGTAAATGATTAAGAGAGTTTGTGTTGTTCAGAGCTCATACCATCAGTACACCTCCTGGATGGGGCTTCATCAGTGTCCTGGTCCACCTCACACTGCTCCACCTGCTCATCCTGAGCTTTGGTGGATTTGGGACGAGACGAACAAAAGAAAAAAGAGGCAAAGCTCCGAAATGTCCTCTTTTTCTGCCTCTTATTCTTTGTTTTCTCTTTCCCTCTCTGCTTTCTCTCCTGCCCTCTCTGCTTTCTCTCCTGCCCGCCTCCCTCACCGATGCCCACAGGCGTCTCGTCAGGCCGAGGATGGAGCTCCGCCTTGTGGTCGGTGGGTGTCAGTGTTGTTCGGGGATTTATCCCGTGCACACACTCACCTCCTCCCTCAACTCCCACTCTACGAAACTGTCGCTGTCCCATAATCAACTCGGTAAAACGCTATCAACAACTGCAAACACACCGCAAAAACACTGTTGATATCTGAACTCCTTACTCGCTACAAAGTGAGAAAGTGAGTTTCAAGCTTTATATTGTCCCGCCATCAACGTTCTATTTCCTCTATGATGTTATAAGGGCTCATACAGGCTGAGAGCAGCAGATTCTCGCGAACATTATGTCTAGTGATGCCATTGATATATTATAAAGGGCTTATAATATATTTTGATTACTTTTTACATTATTCTACTAGATACTCTAGTAAATTTTCATTGTCACTGAATTATTTGCTGACTTGAAATTGAAATTGAATGAAATTATTGATTGTTAAACTGATAACAGAGTGGTTAAAATAATAACAGGTGGACAAGTGGTATAAAGGATGGAATGGATATGATGGTTTCCAATCTTTTGCATACAACCAGTTACAATTTTACCTTATTTTGAACTGGATTTAGATGGGAAACAATATGTAAAACATTGCCAACAAACTTTAAATGCACTACTTGAACTTTAAACAAATTACTTTCACAATCACGTACTCTCTCAGTGTCCACTGTGTTAGCTCTTCAGGTGTAACAGTGAACATTCTGACATAAAATCAGCCACTGCACCATGTCTGAGCAAAAAGAAGCTAATTTCTAATAAAGAAGTGCATGGTCAAACTGTAATTTTAAAAATAGGATTTTTCTACTAACCTTTTCATATTTATATTAAAAGGGTGGACGTACTAAGGTTGACCACATCAAATTTGAAAGATAAAATTGCTTTAAAAAATAGACAGTTAATATAATCAAGGATCTCACTAACTTGCCCAAGTTGTTTTACCTCCAAATAAGTGACTTTCATTTCATTTTTTACAACTTTCATTTAAAGGGAAGGTAGTCAGAAAGTGGATTGGAGTTGTCAATAAATTGAAGGGCAATCTAAAAACCTAAATTATATATCTCTCAATTCTGAGAAAACAAAGTGAGAATTGTGAGATAAAAATGTACAATTATCTTTTCTTTTTTTTATTCCGTGGCGGAAACAAGCTTCCAAAACTTAATAAAAAACAAATTCAGAATTAAAATATTAATTCTGCTGTGTTAGTTCTCGATAGAGGAGCGTTTGGCGTCACCTGTAGGTTGAATGCGGCACATCTTTAGTTAGCGTCGTTGCTATGGAACGACTCTTGTAAACACAACGATAAGCCACGGCGTTCGTAAACGTCTGGTAATCTCATCGAGCCGTTTGTGTTTTGTTACTGAACGTCTCTGAAACAGAGCAAAATGTCTAACGCTCTGTTGTTAGCAGAAGTTGGTTGGGACGCGGGTTTCGCCCTCCCTGTAGCAAATGCAGAGAATAAAGCATTACAGGAGGAGGTGAGTAAGAAGTCTATCTGCTAAATGACATGTCTGAATAACTGATTTTAAGAGGTGTGTGTACCTAGATTTCATTTTCTTAATTTCTTCTTCTCTCTACAGCTTCAAATGAAACAAAAGGAGCAATTAAATCTTGAGAACAAACTGAATAAATACAAAGATGTTATAAATGCTTTGACTGAACATCTCAAAAATCTAAACCAAGAGCTTTCTCACACTCAGGTATGAGATAATGGCAGTAGTGGAAGTTGATTCTTCCTGTATTTTCTGGTTTTGAACAGTAAGGCTAAATGTGTAATGCTTGAACGGGATTGTCCGCATGTGTTCAGGCTTTGTGCAAAGCCAGAGAGAAGGAGACTGAATCTGAGGAGCATTTCAGAGCGCTGGCGGAGAGAGAGACAGGCCGCTTGAAGCAGGAGATCACTGAGCTGGAGAATCAACTGAAAACACTGAATGAGAAGAAGAACGCACAAGAGGTTACAGCCGATCCACACCTCATCCATATTACATGACCTATGCTTACGCATAAACAAAGCAAAACAACCATAAAGTCTCAAAGCAACCATATATAAAGAAACTATCATTCATCGGTGTCTCACAAACTACAAATGTATAAACACGTTTACACACACTGCAGTTCAAAAGTCTGGGGTCATTAAGATTTTTAAAAAAGAGAGTAATACTGATATCCAGCAAGCACCCCTTAAATTCATCAAAAGTGACACATTTATAATCTTACAAAAGATTTCTATTTCAAATAAATTATGTTCTTTTGAGCTTTCTGTTCATCAAAGATCCAGAAAAAAGTATCACTTTTTCCACTAAAATATTAAAGGTAGGGTTGGCAATTTTCAAAGAGGCTAGCAATAGTGAGCTAGCTTTGAAGCTAGCATAAGATCCCACCCTCCCTTCAGAGCGTCTCCAAAAGCCATGCCTCCTTCAAAACGCATGAGGCAGGGAGCAAACAAAAGCGGTGTGAGAGACGGCGGTAAACTACATCATGTCTCAAAGCACATATCATTGCAATAATAATTAACAGAACTTAAAGAGCACTGACCTGTACCACCTGACTGCTGCGGATTCCTTTCGGCGTTGATAGTGTCGGACCGAATGCAATGATTGGAGGAACATTTTATGGCCTTACGCCTTCCACAAACGATATACAGTATATCCAAATAAAAATACATTTAGACCACTTAATTTAGTGATTGCAGTCAGGATGTGACAACACTTTCAACCAGCATAACAAAAAATGTGTCTGGAACAAATCTCCTAACTGTTTTCTAAGCACAACTGTTTTCAACATTGCTGATGATCAGAAATGTTTCCTGAGCAGCTAATCAGCCAATGAAAATGATTTCTGAAGGACAAGGAAGACTGGAGTTATGATGCTGGAAATTCATAAATGCAGCAATCAGAAACTGAACTTTTTAAATACTTGTATTTTATTAGAAAGGAACATAATCCTAATCCTAATATAATTCTGTCAATATTTGCACAGAACAGCATCTTTAAAGCCACTCAGAAGCTTGAGGAACTGAAGAGTCAGCTGAACTGGGACCAGCAGACCCTGGAGGCCTGGCTGCAGGAATCAGCACACAAGGATGAAGACACCATGGCCATCATCAAGTACGCCAAGCAAGATGAGAGCAGGATTCGAGTGAGTTTGTAGTTCCAGCTGTTTGAGTTGGGTCACTTTGAAAGCCAACACTGAGCTGTCAGTCATAAGGAAAATGTAAAAGGTTGGCTTGTACAAAGTGTCACTGCTTTATTCACTTCAAGCAGATACACTCACCTAAAGGATTATTAGGAACACCTGTTCAATTTCTCATTAATGCAATTATCTAATCAACCAGTCACATGGCAGTTGCTTCAATGCATTTAGTGGTGTGGTCCTGGTCAAGACAATCTCCTGAACTCCAAACTGAATGTCAGAATGGGAAAGAAAGGTGATTTAAGCAATTTTGAGCGTGGCATGGTTGTTGGTGCCAGACGGGCCGGTCTGAGTATTTCACAATCTGCTCAGTTACTGGGATTTTCACGCACAACCATTTCTAGGGTTTACAAAGAATGCTGTGAAAAGGGAAAAACATCCAGTATGCGGCAGTCCTGTGAGCGAAAATGCCTTATTGATGCTAGAGGTCAGAGGAGAATGGGCCGACTGATTCAAGCTGATAGAAGAGCAACTTTGACTGAAATAACCACTCGTTACAACCGAGGTATGCAGCAAAGCATTTGTGAAGCCACAACACGCACAACCTTGAGGCGGATGGGCTACAACAGCAGAAGACCCCACCGGGTACCACTCATCTCCACTACAAATAGGAAAAAGAGGCTACAATTTCCAAGAGCTCACCAAAATTGGACAGTTGAAGACTGGAAAAATGTTGCCTGGTCTGATGAGTCTCGATTTCTGTTGAGACATTCAGATGGTAGAGTCAGAATTTGGCGTAAACAGAATGAGAACATGGATCCATCATGCCTTGTTACCACTGTGCAGGCTGGTGGTGGTGGTGTAATGGTGTGGGGGATGTTTTCTTGGCACACTTTAGGCCCCTTAGTGCCAATTGGTCATCGGTTAAATGCCACGGCCTACCTGAGCATTGTCTCTGACCATGTCCATCCCTTTATGGCCACCATGTACCCATCCTCTGATGGCTACTTCCAGCAGGATAATGAACCATGTCACAAAGCTTGAATCATTTCAAATTGGTTTCTTGAACATGACAATGAGTTCACTGTACTAAAATGGCCCCCACAGTCACCAGATCTCAACCCAATAGAGCATCTTTGGGATGTGGTGGAACGGGAGCTTCGTGCCCTGGATGTGCATCCCACAAATCTCCATCAACTGCAAGATGCTATCCTATCAATATGGGCCAACATCTATAAAGAATGCTTTCAGCACCTTGTTGAATCAATGCCACGTAGAATTAAGGCAGTTCTGAAGGCGAAAGGGGGTCAAACACAGTATTAGTATGGTGTTCCTAATAATCCTTTAGGTGAGTGTATATCATAATGCTTTAAAGGGTTGAATGCATATTGCAGCACTCAACTGTTAAACCAAAAGTGTGAGCCAAGTAACACAAAGTACCTGGGTGAATCTCACAAGTCCTGCCAAGAATATGTTTGTATCATATCTCACCCTAAACGAACAAGTGAGCACAGTTGATTGACTATTGCCAAGGACCAGATGATCTTTAATTTGTACATTATGATAATTATAATTTAGGGGACAAATGTGCTTAATTAAAAGGTAATATGGTCACAATAAGCTTTAGTTATAAGATATTTAATATCAAATATTGAATAAAAAATAAATAAAAAAATTGATAACATTAATTGTATACAATGTATAAGCATTATTTTAGTATCATTGATATATTATTATAGCTTTTGATAATATTTTGAATTACATTTTATGTTTATATTTTAGGTTAAAAAAGTTGTGTTGTATTCTGTTGTTTTTTAAATATGTCTATATAGTTTTTATTAAGTTGTATTTTTGAATTTTTGTTCATTTAGTTATATTGGTTATTTTAGTACTTCAACTTAAAATAAATGAAAATGATAAATGTTGCCTTGGCAACTAGCTGAAATAAAATAATTTTTTACAATATATTTATTTTATTTCAGTTCATTTTAATGTTTATAGTTTAAGTTAATGACGCTAATATCATATTTTAATTTAAATACTATCACAATGTGACATTTTTCATGAGATTCACTCACTTGTATGGCAAGTATTTTAGAAATTCTTGAAAAGCAGAATGCTAAGCTATAGTTTGAATTACAAAATAACTGCCAAGTCTGGGCTGATATAATATCTGCTGTCTTTTGAATCAGGAGCTGACACTGACTATTGAGAAGTTGACTCTTGAAGCCAACCAGAAGAGAAAGACCTTGAACAGTGAAATCACTGAGTCGGTTACAGCACAGGTGATGGATATTATTCTGTGCTCCCTCACATTTCTCAGTCGTCAGAGGACATTTTTATGCTTTGAGCATGCCATCATTCTTATAGGCTTTGGTCTTTGCAAATGCATTGTATTTTGGGATCCAGATCGCTTTGGACAAGACAGCCGAGAGCTTTCGCCAGGCTCACGCTGAGAGGCAAGAGATGATCGACCAGTGGGAGAACACCATTGAACAAATGAGGAAAAGAGACCAGGAGATACAGCAGTGTGCCATGGTAACCTGAAGATGGCGCTCTTTTAATACTAAGACATCATTGAATGCACAGTGTTTCTGTAGATGTAAACATATACATTGCAATTTTCTTAATAAAATAACTATATCTACCATTTAATTCTGAAAATGGTTTCAAATGTAAATCACTCGATCTTCTAGTTGCAAGCGGAGGTGAACCAAACGATAAGAGAGAAGAATGATTTGGTCAAGGAGAGGAAGGACTTCATGGAGCGTGAGATAGAGAACAATAAAGAGCTGGAGAGGAATATAGGCACGGCTGAACGTCAGGCGCTTCGACTCAGACAGCATCTCCAGGAAGAGGAGAGGAACGATAGACGTCTGCAGGATGAGGTGAGTCCATGACAGCTTACCAACATTGGGATGCTTCTCGTTTCTTCACTCCTCTGTCTTCAAACCTGTGAGGCCGATCAAAGTCCACCATGATGAAAGGCGCATCAATTGTTAGAATCCACCATGAGGTGGAAAGGATCTAGTACTGTGGATCTCAACATGGGGGCCGGGCCCACTAGAGGGCCTCAGAAAACTTTCAAGGGGGCTTCAATTACTTAAAATGATTTAAAACAAGGAAAAAACAAGCATTAAAATAAGCTCAAACAAGAAGAAAAAAAAGTCAAGATATTTCATAATACTTGGTATTTTTATACCAAAGTTCCCCCCAAAATAAAAATCCATCATTTACTCACCCTCAAGTTGTTCTAAACCTGTATGAGTTTCTTTCTTCTGTTGAACACAAAAGAAGAAAGTTGGTAACCAGACATTTTCTGGTCCCCATTGACTTTCAAACTATGGAAGTCAATGGGGTCCAGCAGCTTTTGGTTACCCATATTCTTCAAAATATCTTCTTTTGTGTACAGAAGAAAGAATCCCATACAGGTTTAGAACAACCTAAGGCTAAGGGTGAGAAATGACGACAGAATTTTCAACTATCATTTTAAAGTCAAAAAGGTTGAGATCCACTGATCTAGTCCCATCATACCAAGGCTGTTTTGGTACCTTACCAAAATATTTATTTTTGTTCTTCAAAAACATTGGGTTCTACGTTTATACCACAGTAGATTAATATGGTTATCATGGACATTATACCATGGTATTATACCATTACTGTACTATGGTACAGCCGCAGTACATCTTTGTAAGGGTAGGGATTTTTTCATGTTAATCAAATGCAAATAAAGATATGAATTTGGTGAAACTAATCAAATGTGGTGTTTTGCTCTCAGGTGGAGGTTCTGAAGGGAACTTTAGAACGAACGGCCACAGATGTGGAGACCACCAGATCTCAGCTAACCAGCATGAAAAAGAACATTCAGAACAAAACAGCAAAGTAATGCTTTTTCTTTTCTCAGACGACTGCTCAGTCTTATAGTTCACAGCAAATTCATAGCAAATATCCAATTCATTGTAGTAATACATATAGTTCTTTTGTTATAGGGTTGAAGAGGTAAAGCTGCATATTGCTGCTCTGAAGGAGAAGCTGCTGGTGGTGATGGAGGCAGTGCTGGATGGTGAAGAGCAAGCAGCACAGATGGAGCAACTGCACAAAGAACAGGAACAGAATATTAAAGTGAGTTTGACTCCTCTGACTCTTTTTGACTTCACAGCAATGCACTGGCAATCTGGGCGTCAGGCATCTTCTGTTTTGCAAATCAGATGGGGCTGGATGCCATTCTCTCTCTCTCTTTCTCTCTCTCTCTCTCTCTCTCTCTCTCTCTCTCTCTCTCTCTCTCTCTCTCTCTCTCTCTCTCTCTCTCTCTCTCTCTCTCTCTCTCTCTCTGTATACATATATATATATATATATATACTCTATTTAGTATTAGTATAATTTCAGAAATGTTCAGAAATGTTAATACATGTATTGACCACTCAGTGTCCAGGAGGAGAATTATCTTATTGGACAGTCCACAGAAGTATTATTTTAGTATTATTTATATACTATTGTAGTTTTATTAATTTTGAGTTAGCTTTCATTTTTAATTTTCATTTTATTTGTAGTTATTTATTTTGTCATTTTTATTATTTTTTAAATATTCATTTTTATGTAGGTTTAATTTATTTTTAGTTCAGTTTTGTTTAGTGAGCGTTTCAGCGCATATTTATATTTTATTTTATTTTACCTTTATTTCAATTAATAAAACTGTTTTTAATAGTTTCATTTGACAATGGTAACCCTGGTCCACAGTTTTGGAAAAATAAGACGAGTTACAGTATTATGGCCAATAACTCATAAATACCACATATTAAAATTCTATGCTATTTTGTCAGTAAGTTAATAAAACACTGAAATGAATTTACAGCATTATAATGCACAGTATGGAAAATGGATATTCATTTAGAGATTTACTAAAGATTACATTTAACCACTAGTGCTAATAAATTATTAGCGTTATTCAAATATCAACAAAGTGAGCGTTAAATGTAAAAATAGGGGAAATGAGAATCACAATTGATTAATGCACAATTCAATTTCCAATATCAACCCATACGATTATTTTGTTAAGCCTGTCTGTGATTGACTTGTTAATGAAAGTTATTATAATGTGCCTGTACTTGGATTAATAAAGCATTAATTGTGTAGGAGATCGATGCTCAGCTGCTCCGGCAGAGGGAGCTCATGTTCAGGAAGAGTCAGGAGTTGCAAGGGCTGCGTGAAAAAGAGAAGAACATCACAGCTGAGATCTGCGCCACCCGGGCCGCTCTCTCCAGCCTGGAGAGCAGACTCAGCAAACTGGACCAGAGCTTTCTCAAACAGCAGATGATCATCTCCAACCAGGCAAGAGAACAAATAGTTATCATCGAATTAAATTGTTTTCTAGAAGCTGACAGATGACTCGAGTGTCGTTCTTTTGTTTGGTCTAGGACTTTCAGATCCAGATGCTGGAGAGGAAGACTTTACACTTGCAGGGGAAGGTGAACACAAAGGAGAAGGAAGCTCTGGAGAAGAGGGCTTCTGATCTGGCTGAAGCTCTAGAGGGGAAGAAGAGGACGGCCGCCACACTCAACACACAGCTGAAGAAACTCCAGGTGAGAGTGTGTGTCTCTGCTGTTATATTGATTTCTCAGAGCTCTCCTCAGCTTTGGAGAACAGCTGTTTTCAATAGGCACACAGGTCCGATTCACAGGTGATAAATGTGTTTATTGATTGATTACTGATTTCTGTTTTTTGGTATTCTGCCCTTGAGTTGTTGCAATTAAAAACAGTGCGCCTTATTTCTCTCAATCTTACATTTCTCTCAATCTTACATTTCCTGCTGTCCTTTATGAAATATAAATATCTGTTTCAGTCATGAAACTCTAGAGAGCGCAGGCTGATGGGTCCTTTGCTTACAATCTGCAAGCAATCACATCATTACCGCATGGCACAAGCTGATTGGCCTCTGCTGATCCTGCAGCCAATGAGATTGCTTGCTCAACATTTAAATAGTCTGGTTCAGTGTTTGCTGTAGGCTAGTCCTGTATTGTGCTGTCAGAGTTCCTCTGAAACCCTCCACCTCCCCCAGCTCCACCTGTCGGGATCTGTTACAGGATTTATGTCCATGTCTGTTCATGCAGCAGCTGCAGCAGATCTTACATTCTCACAGCAGCGTGTCTGTGTATCTATTATCAGTAGCAAGTCCATACTTGCTCTGCAGCAGCAGCAACATAGCAGATCTAGTCTGCCAAGATAAAATATGTTAATATTGCCATATTTAATAGCATGCTAAAACTATTCAGAGTTGTCATGATTGAAATATAAAGTTGCATATAAATAAGCATAGTGAACTAACAGATTTAAAACTATTTGGCAGGTGTTATTTGAGATATTTCGAGACAAAATAAAAAAATAAGAAATTATATATTATTTAAAGCTGATTAAACCTATTTTAGGAACATTAAAACAATTTTTGCATTGCACCTTTATTTAACAATTAAGCACATTTTCTAAATTCTTCACAATTTCTAATATTTTTATTTAAATTATATGAATTAATTCCTTCATAATAATTAATTATTACTGATTATATATATATATATATAAGTTTGGGGTCAGTACGTTTTTTTTTCAGTGACAGTAAAGACATTTATAATGTTACAAAAGATTTATATTTCAAATAAATGCTGTTCCTTTGAACTGTAAGAAATTGCATTTAAAATATATTCAAATAGAAAACAGATATTATACAGACAACAATTTCACAATATTACAGTCTTTACAGCATTTTTCATGAAAGAAAATGCATCCTTGTTGAGACTTATTCCAAAAACATTAAAAAAAATCGTACCAACCCCAAACTTTTGAACGGTAGCATATACTGTATATTCTTTTGATTTGGGGGGTGGAACATGACCTCTTTTTGGACCTGTGTCTGGATGTTTTTAATGGTGCATATCTTCTCAGGATGATATCCGCTGCATTAGGAAAGACGCAGAGAAGAGCGAAGCAGAGAAGAGAGATCTGACCTCCAAGATCCAGGAGCTGGAACTCTTCATCGACATCTCTGAGAAAGACCAGAAAAAACTCAGGCTCAATAAACAGGTCAATAACTTGATTGTCCATCACTGAACACTCAACCATTATGAATTTCTCTACTTCCCAGTTTGCATGCATTAAATATTTCTCATTTAACACATTTAATGGAATTTCCATCCAACAATTTCTCCCCTACCATCAGCACTTGCTATCAGCACAACTTATCAAATTTGAAATACATTATTTTTCTATTGTGGATAACTTAGCCTAATCTATCAAAGCATTTGATAAAATATCAGCAGTAAACCATGTTAGAGAACAAAGCACATTTGCTCTGTTGCACATGTGTGAACGTGTTCTTCTTCCATCAGGACAGTATGGTGGAGAAAGGTCTCCTGAAGATGGAGGTTCAGCGGCTGAGAGACCTGCTGTATGACAGAGCAGATGGAGTGCTGACTCTGGAGAAGAGACGTCTACAGCTGCAAACGGCCATGAAAGAGAGAGAGGAGGAGATCCGTGTGTACCGAGAGATGCTGGTTAAACAGGTCAAGCTCACCGAACAGGAGAGACAAGGGCTCAGGTAAAAACACACTAGCCACTGAAAATGAAAATGATTTTATTATTTAGTGTGGCTTAGAAGATACATTTAAACTACGTTACATATATAAATAAATGAATAACATGAGTTGATCTGCACTGATGTCATATGCAGTATTTGACTCAGCATTTTTCTGCACTCTGTTGCTTGTGACAAATGGCCTCAGTAATGCGGTGAACGAGAGAATGTTCAAAATTGACAAGATGAGGAAGAGGTATGAGATCCTGACTGTTTCCATGGCTGCACCAGAGGGAGAGGAGGATAAATCCCAGGCCTACTTCATCATAAAGGTATCATATACCACTATTTTTAATAACATTGATTATTTCTCCAGTTAGATGCACTGAGCACAAGGTAGAATCGCAGTAAAATAAGTAATATTGTTTCATGCATCAGATTCCTAGAATGAAAAAGCTTAATCAGAAGCATGTGATGGTATGCTTAATGAAGGATATCCCTTTGTTTTGAATAATAAAGAACATTCTTTAATGCTTTATTTAAAAAACAAAAACAAAAAAAAACAGTATACACTACCATTAAAAAGTTAGGGGTCAATAAGATTTTTTAAAGAAATGTATACTTTTATTCAGCAAGGAAGCATTAAATATATCAGAAGTGACAAAAAGACATTTATAATGTTATAAAATATTTCTATTTCAAATAGCCTATATGTTGTTCTTTTGAAATCTCTACTCATCAAAAGAATCCTGAAAGAAAATGTATTGTGGTTTCCACAAAAGTATTAGGCAGAACAACTGTTTTCAACATTGATAATAATAAGATATATTCCTTGAGCACTAAATTATTCATCATATTACAAAGATTTCTGAAGGATCATGTGACACCGAAGACTGGAGTAATGATGCTGAAAATTCAGCCTTACCATCACAGGAATAAATTTTAAAGTATTATACTATTTCACAATATTACTGTGTTTACTGTAGCTTTGGTGAACACAAGATACTTCTTTCAAAAGCATTCAAATTAAATACGGTTTCATCAAAAACAAAGAAGTGCGGCTTGGGTTTTTGCATTCAAAGCATTCCCAACTCCTGACTACTCCATATTTTTCTCTATATCTGATGAACATTACAACTCCATATATGCCACAATATCGAATAAACTCTGGACTTTTTCCGAAGGCAGCTCAAGAGAAAGAAGAACTCCAGCGACAGGGGGATGTTTTGGACGCCCAAATCCGCAAGGCAGAGAAAGAGATCCACGCTTTGGAGAACACCCTGCAAGTTGTCAGCAACTGCAATACAACCTACCGCAAAACCCTGACCAAAGTCACTGAGTCCAGTAAGCATTTCTTTATTAAACTCATAGATTACTCCAAAACATAGTCATACTCAAACACTTTAACTCATTGCCAACTTTTTAAAACATTCTTCACCGCTAATGTCACCATGTGATTCTAATTTTAAAGTGGTCTGTTAAGTTTCTTTGGTTACCTGTAATATGAGGAAAATAACAGCTGTAGCTATGCACGAGCAACACTGATATTAATGTACTTGTTATCAAATAAAATATTTTCAGCTTAAGCCGTACCAACTAGTTATGTAAATTTGCAGTGTACATAATCAAACACAATTTAGTTGTGAGCTGAGCAGTGCACCATCTCGCTGTAGGTCCCACACACCAGGAGAAACTCAAGCTGGAGGAGCAGAGACGAGCAGCCGAGGACAAATACAAATTTAAGAAACGGCAAATCCGAGAACTGCAGGAGGATGTTGAAGTAAATATGTGTTGACGTAAACATTCTTCAAGACAGACAATGCGGACAAAACTAAATTTATATAAATATGTGAAGCATAATCTCTCATGATACAGAAATGTATTTCTTAACAGTAGTTAACTGATCTATTATGTAACTAAACAATTTTTATTTAATAATTATATTTAAAAAGATTTGTTGTTGTTTTGTTTTAATTATAATTGGGTCATTCCTTCAGTTAGTTTGGTGGATTTTGATCTGAGCAGGTTTGTTGTAGAAGTTCAAATTCAATGATCTTTTCAGAAGGAGAAAATGCCTGTTCATCAGAAAACACACTGGTCAAGCTCAGGCTTCAAGCTCAAGTAAAACCTAATAATCCTGACCAAATATTTCACATGTGGTATAGGAAAATTGTCTGCACTGTTACATGACATTTGCAATGCATTGAGTAACAGCCAGGGTGGACATTTTAAGCTAATAAAGCCCATTACTAACTGGGAAAGAACAGCATGCTAGCAGAAGATATATTACATGTCCATTTATAGATAAAGAAACATTTTCATGTTCAGTATAAATGGACACATCAGGGTGACCATGTTGTGTTTGATGCAATTAGATAAATATTCTAAAAATTAGGAAACTAGAAAACTTTATGACTTGCACTTTGTTCTTGAAGTTGCTTTCCCTCCAAGGAAATTATGTCACTTCTAGCAAGTCATGTGATTTAGGGCATATACTGTATGGACTAGGGTTTGAGAGACAAACTAATTTAATGGTTTACACCTTAAAAAAATCGCAATACATATTATATAAATATTTTATGTCAAGGAAAATAAGTAAATGTATATATTAAAGGTATTGTAGGTAGGAATTTTATAAAAAACTTTTTTCCAAATTTGTTTAAACTTTCTGTATATATCAATGCATAATTAAAATGTAAGTACTCGGGAAAAGAAAGTATAAAAATCAAGTGTCTGTAGACCTCTCACGACTGTTTTAAAGACAGCTCATTATTTCCATTCACTCCACCCCCTCCCTTCTGGGCTCCTTCCAAAGCCACGCCCCAAAAACACATGAACGCGCGACTCCGACCGCTGAGCTGAAGACGCATTATTTACCTGAGACGAGCGGAGAGGAAGGAGCGCAGTGCATGTAGTGACATCATGTCAGAATCACATGTAATAAAAAATCTAACTTTATCATTATGAAGATAAACAAATAAGATGTATTTTAGTACTCACTATCAAGCTAGCATATTGATATTGGTAAAGTTTAAAATATATATTGATTCGCTAACGAGCTAGTTATCTATAAGGCAAAGCTAAAAACAGGTTGCATGATACACGTTTTTCCATTGCCATCATTTACACTGTGATGAAGATGAATTTCGTGTAACATTCATAACATACCGTATATGGTGTTCTGCATGTAAGAGTTTCCATGACGAAAGCATTGTTGACTCTGATGATGAGGACTACACAGAGACAAGTGCCGCATCGTCAGCTCGAGGACAGATCCGGGGTCGAGGGCGAAGCAGAGGAGGTCGTCACAAGGCGTCACTTTTCAGCCCCTTGAGGTCTCTCAGTTCTCGCCATCGCTGGAAAGCCACGCCGATATTGACACGCGTTTTATTTCGTTGTTTATCCAAAGACTTTTTGTTCATTACCTTTTCTAATAACGTTACTTTCTTCCTTTTTTTGCCTGGTTAAGGTTTGCCTTCGCGAACTGCATATGTGAATTTTGATTGGTCTTTCTCTGCCATTGTTTTGCTATTCCTAGGTTCCGTGCCTCTTGAATTTCTCAAATCAAACGGGTACGCGCAAGTGGGCAGGTCCTGTGTGGCAAAAGGGTGGTTGCCATGGTTGCGAGAGAGTGACAGTCGCCTAAGCCAATCCTTTGTTTCGTCCCGGAAGGAAATAATGAGCTGTGTTTAGTGCAGATTAAACGGTCTAGAGTCACTCGATTTTTATACTCTTTTTATCAGAGTACTTACATTTTAATTATGCATTGATATATACAGAAAGTTTAAACAAATTTGGAAAAAAGTTTTTTTTATAAAATTCCTACCTACAATACCTTTAATACAAAAAAAATAACTTTTATTTCAAAGTGATATTCCTGGGTACTAATCATGATTTTTGTGTGTGTGTGAACAATTGTTTTTATTAAACAATCAGTTAGTTAATATTAAATACACAAGGAGGCTAATCAACAGAACTAGAGACAGGTGCGCAACATAATCAGTAACCATAGAAACAAACAAGGATCAGGAACAACACCATCAAACAGAATAGAACCAAACCAAAAGACAATATAACTTACATACTTGTGACAGGGGACAGGCAAAACCTATGCAATCATTTCCAATGAATGGATCATCTGATGATTTGTGATTTTTGGGGATAATGTAATTGTCTCCCAAACTTGATCAGAAAAAAATAACTTTTATATCACCAGTGATGTCCTTAGACCAAGTAGTTGCTATGGAAAGTAGTTTGTATGAGTTTTTTTTATGAGAGAGCAGTAAATAAACGAAGCAGAGGTAATAGAGTTTTCAGATGGAAGGATTAGCTTTCGTAAAGGATGCACGGACAATTGTGGATTTCAGGGAACTCCGTATGCGCGAAGAGCAGACCATATGTGGAGATACATGAAAAAGGAAGAGCATGGTAAATTAAAAAGGTCCTAAATATCCTGACATTTTCAGGCCTTTGTCAATTTGTGCCTAAACAATTTACATTACATGTTACCCATTAAAGGGTTAGTCCACCCAAAAATGAAATTCCCTTAAGGACGACCCAGCATACTAGTGACCAGCAATGTTAGATTTTCCAGCTGGGTGGTGTGTCATTATTTACTGAAGCTGTTTATAGTTTCACATTGTTCTTGCTATTAGTATAGTAATTAATTACAGGGATGTGTAATAATATGTGTAACACAAACACTGGAAAAGGTGTTTCTGTGAAGAGTTATCAGAACTGTAAAGTGTTACGAGTTGTTACCAGCATATGGAAATACACAGTATTCAAAGTGTGTACTTTCACTTTAATAGTTATGTTGCTAGGTAACACAAAAGTTGTTTGAAAAACCTCATTCACATTGGGTCTAACAAGTTTCTGTAAACCTGTTCTGTAAAAGTAAAAACATGTTAATTAGCTAGGTCAGCTTGATTCAGTAATGTTAAATAAAATAAAATCATTGTTGATGGCACGTTTTTCACATTTCAGAGCATGTCCAGGACATTGGAGGGTCTTCTTCAAGAGGAAGCCGATCAGAACGAGAGCATTGAGAGGAACCAAGCACATGTTCTCTCTCTCAACAAAGACATCCTCTCTCAGGAGGAGAAACTCAATAGAGCCGCCAAACAGGTCTGACTTACGCCCTCACATACCCTACAATTATCCAGCTGTATCTTTTCAGACTCATACAGAATCTCAAATGACTTTTCTTTAGTAATTAAGTTTATAATAGTCAAGTCACCTTTAGCACTCGCAAACCCGATTGTTTCAAAGCAGCTTCGCAGTAATAAACAGGAAAATAATAAAGAGAATACAATAGGCTATTAAATGGCAGGTTTCATTGTGACAACTTACTCTATACAGTTTGACAACATGCCCTGCTAAGTAAATACAATATCCAATACAAGGTTCTTTCACCGACAATCTCTGCTAGCAATCACAGCGCTCATTTATACATTTTATTTCATTTATATTATCAGCAGCCAATGAGCTCGCTGCTCAACCTTCAAATACTTGGTCAGCATTTGTTATAGCAGTTGCAGCAGTCTTTCAGAAACCCTCCACCTTCCCCAGCTCCACCTGTGTAGATCTGCTATGGATAATTCATGTATGTTATATTGTACAGCAGCAGAATGTCTTGCTCACAGCAGCGTGTTGTGTGTGTATTTGCAGTAGCAAGTCCTGTACTTGCTCTGCAGCAGCAGGAGCATAGCAGATCTATTAACGTGATATGACCAAACATATTTGTCACGGGTGGTGTAGGGCAGAAAGCACGAGGAGACGAGGAATTCCAATAAACAAACTTTACTATAAATCAAAACAACAAACAGGTACAGGCAGACAGAGCGGATGCAAACACCAGTTAACATTGACGAGAACCGACAAAGACAGACTGAACAGAGAGAACTAAATACAGATACAAACGACCACTAACGAGGTGAGGACAGGTGACACAGATGATTAAGACGATGAACAGGTGGATGATTGAGGGAGTGAATTCAAGTGTGGAGACAAGAGGATGCTGGGAAGTGTAGTGAAGATGACGAAGACAGAATGGTGCAGACGATGACTGTGACAATATTAACATTATCATATCCATTACCACGTCAAACACCTTTTTTTTTTTTTTTTTGAGTTGTCATGACTAGAATATATTTATATGTAATATTGCCAGTAATGACTGATTATACCCATATTCGTGTCTCAACAGTGTGCCAAATATACCAGGGAAATTCGGTCTGCTAAGAAGACCAAAGAGAAGACGTTTGAGGAACGCGACATAGAGCTACGAGAACTCAGAGACTTCAATAAAAGCCTAAATAAGATGCTCCTAGAAGCCATAGAGGAGAATTCTGACCTGGCAGCTACAGTGCAGATACGTTTTATGCAGGTACAGCTTGACTGGAAAAATTACCCATCATGATACCTAAGCAACATGTAGTCATTGTAAATGTTCCATCTACACTACTGTTCAAAAGTTTGGGGTTGATTGGTCATTGAACATTTGGGGTTGAACATTGATAATAAAAAGAAATGTTTCTTGAGCAGCAAATCAGCATATTAGAATGATTTCTGAAGGATCATTTGACACTGAAAACTGAAAATTCAGCTTTGACGTAGCAGCAATAAATGACCTTTTACCATACATTAAGAAATAAAACTGTTATTTTGAATTTGAATAATATGTCACAATATTACAGTTTTTTCAGTATTTTTGATCAAATAAATCCAGTGAGCATAAGAGACTTCTTTCAGATCTTACCGACCCGAATCGTTTGAACAGTAGTGCATTTTTACAGTGGGGTCAATTATCAGAAGGAATTCTTCTGAGATTATTTTACTCATTACTTGCTTTGTTGCATCTGAATGAAGCTACTAATGAACTGTAATGGCTGCGTTCCTCATTGCAGGCTGGTCTGACTCTGCCCTCTCCTGCTTCCACTCCATCCAGCCGTCTGAGCTCAAAGATCAACTCAGCGCGCAGTTCTGCTTCACATCGGTAAATCATGCTTTCAACCGCAAACAATTGCGATTTATATTCCACGCGTACAGTACGTCTGCTGCTATGACAGGATATTTATCCAGTCAAGTGTGACCGTTTATACCAGAAAAATATGCATGACGTGGAAAGTCATGATTGTTGTCTTATGTTGCCCCACATGCGTATCAGATCCTCAAATCTATCGGCCTGCAGTAGTGCCAGAAGCCATTCTGTCCCGTCCACCCCAGTGAAGACCGTGGATCTGGGATTGGGCCTCTCCGTCACGTCCCCGCAAGGATCTCTGCCGTCCAGCGCTGCCAGCAGCAGCAGGAGCAGCAAGTGCAAGAGCCCTTAGACAGATCCACTGGGAGGAACACTGTGTGTCTGTCAACCAGGAAGTGATTGTTTTTAATCGTTATTCCAGTTTAACCTCAATGTTTAATTTATTCCACCCAATGTTATCTTTAAAATTACTTAGGCTATTTAAAATTCACTTTTATCTGTGTGTGTGTGTGTTTTAATTTTTTTGAAATGTGTTATTACTTCAGACTTTACTGTTGATTATACACTACCGGTCAAAAGTTTGAAATAATTAAGACTTTTATGTTTTTCAAAGAAGTCTCTTATGCTCACCAAGGATGCATTTATTTGATACTTATTATCAGTTTGATATCAGTAAAAACAGCATTATTGTGAAATATAATTACAATTTTAAAGAGCTGAATTTTCAGCATCTTTACTCCAGTTTTCAGTGTCACATGATCCTTCAGAAGTCATTCTAATATGAGGATTCGCTGCTCTGTTGTTGTTGTTGTTATTATTATTATTATTATTACTTTTGTACAATGATAAATAATCAGCATATTAGAATGATTTCTGAAGGATCATGTGACACTGAAGACTGGAGTAATGATGCTGAAAATTCAGCTTTGATCACAGCAATACATTTCATACAAAACATGTATTTTTTTTAACTGTAAATATATTTCACATTATTACTATTTTTACTGTAATTTTGACCGAATAAATGCAGCCAAGTAAACTTCTTTCTAAAACATTAAAAAGTCTTAATCATTCCAAACTTTTGACCTGTAGTGTAGACTTTTTTGTTCATGGCATGTAGAAAATGCAAGTCTTGTTTCATTTCAGTACTTATGATTGTGTTATGTGGCAGCAACAAAGAAAGAAACAATAAAACCCTACATTCATTAAATGTTTTGGCCCACTATGAATCGAAAGAAAAGAGCGAATAACTTCCTTCTACGAGCCCATTGTGTTTGTGTCGGCAACACTGGGGTGTGTCCAGTCTCTCTATTGATAGAAACCCATGAGACCGACACTTCAATCAACGTCCTCATACAGCCTAAAAACCTGAAGAGTCACTGACCGTATCCATACACGTTCCACCAAAAGGATCATTTGCAGAATCAAGGAGAAAATGTTCCACTTCATCTTGTTTGTTGGATTTCTGTGTTTTTCTGTGGGAGAGTCGAGCACTACTGGTAAGTGACTGATCAAACTTTTACTCTTACTCTTCTCAAAATTACAAAAATAGTGGAGAATTACTCAGACATTCAGGTCATTTTGCTGGCAAAGTCTTTACCCTTTCAAAGGGCTTACTGATTCAGTTCACGAAAGAATGTTTTATGATAAATATGAAATATTGCCCCTTTCATTTATATATTCACTCAAAAAACCTGTTCTGTTTGATTAATGTTGGTAATTGTGTGTTTAATGGAACTCACAGATACTCCTACAACCACGGAATTGACAACAGAAACATCAGAAAGCTGGACAATGACTTCTGCGCCATCAACACAGCAGCCTGGTACAATGCCATATTTTGCTAGCCTTGTTTGTTTAATATAACAAATAATCAGACTACATTGTGTCAGTTGACTCAGCTGTGGATTTCACATAAACTTGTTAATAGTGAACTTTAGTTTAAAGGGATAGTTCAACCAGAAAAAAAAGTGTCATTTACTCACTGTGGGACACTAAAGAAATGATGATAAATGATTAACTGTTTAATAAAAGTCTATGAGGTCCAAAACAACAGTAGACTGACTTTGAAACAAAGTCATACCGATTTGGAAGGACATTAAGGTGATTAAATTATGATAGAACTTTCTTTTTTTTTTGGGTGAAACATTGCTTTATTGCAGTTTGGAGATTAGTTACATTTGTAATATAAGACGTTGTCAATTTTCTCGTTTATAGGCCCTTCAATAATTACTGGTTTGAGGATAGCTGTCAAATCTGTGGTTGATCTGGCCAGTAACCCTTATTCACCTGAGATGGAGCTCCTTGTTCGTCAGGTAATTATTTAGTCTCTTTACCTTTATAAAAGTATATCCTAAAGAATAAAGCAATCCTTTTACCTTTATAAAAGTATATCCTATAGAATAAAGCAAGGGAATAAAGTCCCTTGAAGCCGTGTTTTACAGTGAATTTAGAACAGTTGTTCTAAATTCACTGTAAAACACGGCTTCAAGGGGTTGGTATTGTTTGGTATGCAGTTGGTATTCTTATTTTTGTTTCCACCACACTTTGTTAATTTGCCAAATGGAAACGGATCAAATCCAAAATGGATTTAACAGTTTGAATATTCGATCTCTACATAGGCGGGAATGAAACGCCCCTTTCCGCTGATTGGTCAACAGGGGCGGCTGGCCAATAGAGGGCGCTATAGGGCGCCGCCCCCAGTTGAGCCAGCCCAAAGTTTAAGAGCCATAAGCGATCAATAAAGAATTAAATGCATACATAAATGATGTATACAAATTGGCAATATGTGTGTTTGAGATATTAAATGCACCCAATATATGTGAAAAATATGATATAAATTCCAAATGTCGGCTTTTTCTGCACGTCTCATCAGCTCTGGGGCGCTGGAGAAATGCCCCAGGGAGGCAAGTCTGTGGAGCAGCTTAGCCATTTGCTGAATAAATAAATCAATGTTTGACATAAATATGGAGTTAATATTGTGCCATAATTAAACAAACAAATCCATGTAACCTTGCATGTAACCTTTGAACAAATACCAAATCTAGTGCATACAAATGCATATCTGTCTGTTATGATTGTGAGACACATGGCTTTTTATGCGATCTCTCGGCTCGATTTTCTCACAAATGTGTCCAGGCAGATTTTCTCACAAATGCAGTTGAGCAACTTCCTCTTCTAAAACAGTAGATGGATGGCGCTAAGATAGAGGATTAATAGACCCCTTTTGCGCCGACGTCACAGTTACGTCACGGCGCTAGCTGGAGGCAAAACAAAAGGACAACTGGAGGCGGCCAATACAAACCAGCACAGATTCGGCTACATAATAAGGAGCTTAAATTATTATTATTATTAAATGTCATCTTGTTGTGTTGTTGGGTCCAAGAATCAATGAAAAATGAATATGCTGTATCTGGAATTTTTATTTCTAGAAAATATTCACATCATTAAAATTGCACCGCAATGTCACTCTTTACATTGTCGTCTTCTCGGCGCTGGCTAGGCAGAACTGCGGATCGTACACACAAGTCTTGTACATGACCATTCAGCACATAGTTATAGGCATCTAAAGATTTATATGCCCTCAGTTTCTCTTTACGCTCGGTTTCTCTATCGGATAGGTGTAGAAGTCAGGCCACTCAACCGGAGGTAGTGTTAACGTTAATCCTGTCAGATCGTCCATGCATTGAGTGAGTGTGTAGAGTACAGGTCAGCCAATCTGGTTCCGTCCGTTAAAATTAACTTTTGCAAATAACAATCGCGGTCCTGGACACTGAGTGACCTTGGACATAAGATAAAATCGGATTTTCTCCAGTCATTGTTAAAAAACAAGCCAACAAAACTTGCAAACTAACGTTAGTGAAGCGGCCAGAGGGAATCGTTCTGCCTCCACCTAAGCCCCGCCCACAAAAACGTCACCATGTTTACAAACTGAAAAGGGGTCTATTCAGCGCTAGTCTCCCGGGAGAAGCACTGATTTGAAACGCGTGCTGGCCTTTGACTACAGCTGTGGAAAATGACTGGTGAACAAGTGTGTTTCTCTCTCACTTTATCTATAATGAACCTTTTTGAGGTTTTCTTTTGCAAAAGGTTTATTACATATCTAGTAGAAATCAACATTAGCACTTAGTAGCACTTCACTATCTCTAGAATAGGGGAATCTATAAGCTGAAAGCTCTGCCATCATATGTTGCTTTTTACATTTTCTCTACATCGGACGCATGCGAAATGACTAAATTAGTGAATATGTCTACACCGAATGGGCCTATTTCTTTCGTTTTTAGATTTTAAAGTTTTCCTTTGCAAAGCAGATCGAGTTTGTTTGCAAAATGCTGGATTTGTTTGTTTAATTATGGCATAATATTAACTCCATACCATAAACTGTAGCTAATCAGCGAGCTCAAATCTAGTCTGCTATGGGCGATTCTTTTAGCGGCCCAAGTGCGCGCCCACGCCTATGCACACCAATCTCTATCAGACAGTCACAGCGGGCTAGCGATAAAGGGAACCGAAGCAGTGCGCGCGAGGCTTCTCTCGGAGCTGGTACAGGCCTGGCTAGCTGGATGCGGTCATGCTAATGCCTTATTTTGCTTTCCATTCTTGAGTGAGATTTTAAATAATTACTGACTTTTTCACAGAGCACTGGTATCCTGCAGTTTGTATTGTGTTTGGGTGGTTATTAATAATAATAATAATGATGATGATTTTTATTTATATAGGCCTAGCGCCTTTCCAACCCCCAAGGTCGCTTTACAAAGATAGGTTAAGGCAGTGGTTCTCAAACTGGGGTACGTGAAGAGTAATATTCCATAGAAGAGTAATATTCAGAGAAAAAAAATAGTTTTGAAGAGGTTTTGAATGAGAGAAGGGTGGATGCTTGACGGATATCTTGAGGGAGAGCCACAACGCTAAAAGACCTGATGGCTCCTATGGTTACCAGACTATTAAAACTGACTGAATATGGCACAGCCCCACCTAAGATATTTTTCACCAGCCGCCACTGTTGGTCAACCAAACATCAAACCGTGAAAGAAAGATGGCACATTTTAAAACAAAACATTTCACAAAAAGACATTAATTAGGCACATCTCCTGGGCATTTAGAAGAGAACGGACTTTATAGCCTTCATCAGCTAAAAATCACAAATACACCGGTTATTAATATTTACTTTTGAATGGCTCATTATATTAAATAGAATATTTCTTATTTGTACTGTATAACTTTTCATTGTTTTAAGTGTTTGCACTGATATGAATAGGCTATTACATCAAATTAGGCCTCAATAAAGTTCTAATGCTCTCTATCCTTTCAGATCGAAGGTTTCATTCCTTCTCAACACAGAGCAACGACGTCCATCACAGTGAGAAAAATCCAGAGAGGCTTCTAGAAATCCTATTAATATTGTCAGCTATTCAAATTGTTAGTAAGGTCAAGTTATAACTATGGTTTTGTTCTTTGTGTATATGTCTTTTCAGAGCATTTAATCGTGTGTCATTTTATATACAGTAAGATATGCTGTTGTGAATCAAATGCCATTCAGCCCTGGACAGCAAATAAACAGTTTTGTTCCAGATAACAGATTTGATTTTTGTTTTATTTTATATATTTTTGTTTGTGTATTAGATCTGTCTTATTCTGTCTCATAATTTGGTTTCTATGTATTTCTCAGATCACATTTACATTACATTTACTGAGAAAAGAAACTTGCCACCATGATGCTAAAGTGTTCTTTGTGGTTGCCAGGGTGTTGCTCTGTGGGTTGCTAAGCAAATTTAAGTTGCTAGGGTATTGTGGGTGGTAACTAGGGGGTTGCTAAGTGGTTGTTTACAGGTCACAGGTTTACAGGTCACAGGTTTACAGGTTGCAAGTCCCTTATAAACCTTCCTCCTACTCTGGAAGTATGGTATTGGATATTTTAATGGAGAGACATTTCCTGAACCCGATGCACCTTACGATCATGTTGTAAAATATCAAATAAAATTACTATGACAATGGAGAAATTTGGAACAAAAACAATACTTTAAAAAGGGTGCAATTCAACAACTCTTTTTATTGTTTATTTGCCGTTTTGTGTGCACATCCCACACACCCTAATCGGGCTCAGGTGCAAGACAACAAAAGTAACAATAATAAAAAAAGAAGTGTGATGTCGGCACACTGAATTGACAACTCAAAAAAACAACTTTTATTGAAAGCGCAACGTTTTCGGCCGTCAGGTATCATCACAAATATTTGCCTTTAAAACAATAATGCATTTTGCTGATCCTGTCAAGCATTAGTCACAACAAATAGCTATAGAACTGTATAAGAGAGATTGCAGAAATATTAAAAGCTTCACTTGGAGAATAAAGAGCAATTCATAAATGTTCCGTGGTCTTTGTCAGTGTATTAAATCATCTCAAAGACCGACAGATCTCATCAGTAGATGGTGCAGTTGGCGGTCGAGTACTCCAGACAGATCCATTCATTGGTGTACATCTTATAGCCCTCAGCATCCACCAGCCCGCTGCCTGCAAATGCACACAAAACACTGCATGACTGCACAAGAAAAAGATATGTTCATCAAAGCCATCATAGCATGAAGTCTCAGTCTCACCCTCCACGAGGTTGTAGAGGGTGCAGTAGGTTGTGCCGTTGTCTTCCAGCCTGGCCCACGCTTTTGAGATGGCATATGCCTGTGGCAGTGATAAAAAGGAAGGGAAGCCAAAAGTATGAAAATCCTTGAGAAGGTATAGTTAGCTACTTTGTGCTTCAGCAGTTTTCAAAAGGGAGAAAAGAGCTGACATCAACATAATAATATAGAATATACAGATTCAGTGGCAAGAAACCCAAACTCCATCAGGTGACAGAATTGAGAAAAGAAATTCTTGGGAGAAACCAGGCTCAGTCGGCGGGCCAGTTCTCCTCTGGCCAATGAACGATCACGGTGTCATTGGGATTCAGGCTGCATCCGTTCAGGGATCGGGAGCATTCAAATATTCATTGGAGGTAGCAAAATCTGAGCGGGTTGCAAAATCGTCAGAACATCTGTACGGAGCTGGAGACGGTAATTACGACATACTGCCTAAATCAGGGTTCCTCAAATACGGTCCTGGAGGATTTGAGGAGCCAATTCAGGATCCGGTCAAAACCCTGCCCTCCAGAGTTTAGCTCAAGCCCTGATCAAACTCCTCAACCTGTGATTTTCGAATGATCCCAGAGACCTTGATTAGCTTGTTCACGTGTTTGATCAGGGTTGAAGCTAAACTCTGGAATATTTGAGGGAACTCTGGCCTAAATATAATGATATTTTACAATATTATGGGTTTTATAGTGTTATCAAAGTAACGACTTCGGTACCAAGTCTGTACTGAAAAAAAAAAAAAGTGAAGATACCAGAATTTCCCTCTAACATTTTGAGCACTGTTGAACAGATTCTTAAACACCTCTGATTGGCCATTGTGTTCACGCGCTTAACATGTCTGTGATTGGCCATTGTGTTGAAACGCTCAGACATACTGTATATGTTGAGCGCGTGAACACAATGGCCAACCAGATGTGTTTAAGAATCTGTAGGGGAAATTCTGGTATCGTCACATTTGAAACGTTTCAGTACCGACTTGGTACCGAAGTCTGTACTTTTGACAACACTAGGGTTTTACTGTTTTTTGTTCAAATAAATTCCACATTGAGAATAAGACTTCTTTCAAAAAAGAAAAAGCTAATGATTTTTTACACACACAAAAAAAGTGTTTTTGCTGGCTAAAGTACTTTTAATCTAGCAACAACTGGATAGATGTCTTTGTGCCAAAGAAAATTTGTTCTGGCACAAAATGACATGTCATTGGGAATGTTGAGTTCTTGCGTGACAAGACAAGTCCAGCAATACATATTTCTTGTTATAAACCCCACTATCTCCCATTTGTTCTTGATGTTCTGAAATGAAACATTGGCAGCAATGAGCATTTTACCGTCACTCTACAGACAGACTCTTCGGTTGCCACCAGGTGAAAGGTCAGGTCCTGCTTGCTGGTCCACTGTCTGGAGGTGTGTTTGGCTACGATGTGGAAAGGAGTGGCAGAAACCAGCTGAAGAAGACAACAGTTCACTAGATTTGTATATAGTTCTTGGTAAATATACTGTCAGACTCCTTGTGCTACACAAATCTCACTGGATTATTACAATAAATGGCAAAAAAATCAAAAACAATTGGATGTTTTTGTGAAAACACTTTGCATGCCTAAAACTTTTCCATACTCAACCTGTACATGTCAATACAGGTTTAATACTTAGGGTTAAATATAGCAAACAGATGCTCTTACTTCATACAGGCATCTCTGTCCAACAGTCATACAGCCAGACATGCCCCTCCACTCCTTGATCTGGTTCACCAGACTCACAAAAACGTCCTGGCACGGGATCCCGAAGAGCCTGACGAATAATCAGAGAGCTTTCAATGCAATGTCATGTGGTTCTATGTGGCGTGAAGTTGTAAATTGGATTGTGGATCTGGTGCGTGACTAAAAGGACAGAATTCAGACATACTATACTTGCATCATGCATATTAAATAATCTTTATGGAAGTGTAGTATGTGGAGGGTCAGCCACTGTGAAAAATGTGCATGGATGATAGAGATAAAAGATCAAAGCCTTGTGATGCTAGTCATAAGTTTACGATTTGTCTTGGTTTTTATGCAGCTCAATCATCATAAGATTGTTGATTTGTCTAAGTAAGAGTGTAATTAAACATTTTTTTTAATTCCAAATATCATCAACAATGTAAAATTAACTGAAATCTGCAGAAAAACTATGGTGTAACTTTCTCTGACTTTTACTCAACTTCATTTTAAACAACATCTATTCTTTTATCATTTAACCCCCCCCCCCCCCCCCCCCCCTTTTTCTTGTGAAATATTTTGCTTGAAAAATGTGCTTGTGCATAAAAAAAAGGTATTGTAGATATTTTGTTATATGGTCCAATGACGTTCATTCATTCTGAAGCATAAGTGTCCAAATGCTTTTTTGTGGTCACTGTATAAAATATATACTCTATATATGCTATTGTTAGTCAGTATTTAGCTAAAAACAACATTCTCAGATGAAGTACTTTAGACTCCAAAGTAACATTTTACAATACAGAACAACATGATTGAAATACAACAGTAGTGTAAAATTCGCCTCATAATAACAGCCTCTGTATACTTAACATTGAAGTTTTTTCCCCTACAAAATTCTTACTTCTGCGTCAAACTCACGCCGTAGGCTGTGTGTAGCACCGTACCCTATGGCGTACCCTGACGTGCACCTCTCCAAAATTTCTACACGGACGCAAGCGCTGTGATTGGTCTGCTAGAACCCCGCCCTCGGGTTTGCAATTACTATAATAAGTACATAGTATGCATGGGGAACAGTGCTACCCAGTATAGTCTAACACTTAATAAATGTAACACCATAACTTAATGTACAATACTATCACAATAGGCATATCTATTGTTAACTAAAAATATTTTTGGTTACTGAAATAAAAATAAAATATAAATATTACACTGTAAAAAATATTTTAGCAATTTAGTTATTTCAAATTATTTTTTTGTGTAGAGATAACTAGATTGTCCAGACAACAAGAAATTTTAAGTTTTCTTGTCCTCAACTTATCGAAATAAGTTAGTTAAACTAAAAAAAAACCATGCAAAAAGATAACACAAAATAATGAGTTAAGTTTTTTTACAGTGTAGATGAAAATCAAAGTTTAATATGAAGCACTTAAATGTCTTAAATGTCTTTTTTTTAAATGATAACACTACTTCAGTCCTTCTTACACTTTACATATACTTAGTATAGTAATAACACGAAATTATGCAGAATTACAACTAACCCTAAACCAAAGGACATTCTTAACTCTTTTAGTACACGCTTTTGATTAATATTACTCAATACTTAATTTTATAATTAATTAATATTACTCAGTACTTAATTGTATAATTACACTGTAACAAGGACAAAAAACTAATAAAAATGACAAAAAAATTACTAAAACAAAATAAAATATAAAAATAAAAGCTCATTAAAAAATATTATTCTACATATTATGTAAATAATACTAAAATATCACTGGATATTTTGTCCTTTCTAACTTTAAGTTTTAGGGCTGTGGTTCACATCTTATATCATTTTATGATGTTTTCAGTCAACAGTATAAATTGGGCTTGATACTGATAACCACACATACAAATCTTAAAGCCCGGTCACACCACGGACGATAATGATAAAGATACAGTTCTAAAAATCGTTCTACGTTAAAGAATAGCAGAGTCCACACTACAACTATAACGAAGATAGCACAGAGAAACGATATCGTTGGAATCACTCTCAGAGCGATATTCCCAGACATTGGATCAATAAAACATATTCACCAGACTTGAAAGAGCTCGAGCATTTAAAGTGACAGACGACAAAACTGCTCGCACACTTAGAATAAACAGAACGTTTTGTCTGCAGGTGTGCTAATGCTAATGCTAACATAGATGCTAATATAGACCTTTTTCAGAGCAGCGCCGTGACATGAAAGCGAGGCTGTGAGGGATAGATAGACTTACCGTGTTTTCAATGGCATCAGCTGTAAAAAGCTGTATAAAGCTCCTAGATTACTCATTTTCCACAGCTCATATTATCTCTGAGGGGGGGTTGTCTACTGAAATTCCTATGAAAGATATTTTGTAGTGTTTCGTCAGCAGAACAATTCAACCTCCACATTAAATAACAGTACAACCCACTGAAGATGTCTATCCCTCACATGCAGCCTCGCCTTCATTCCCGGTAAAAATCAAAGATGGCGCTGCTGTGAATAAGGTCTAGTTATTGTTAAAGTCATCACTCTTGGTGTGAACGGGCCTTTACCATGTGACTGACAAGGAATGACCCACTTACTTTTTATTACACCTCTAGACAGCAGCTGAAACAACCTTTCCAATATATGTGCACAAAGACAAATTTCAATAAAATAAAATTCTCCAGTCAAGCGGCATCTTACCATATGATTCTGCACTGAGCGTGCAGCGGTTCTCCAGTTGCCATCAGACTGAACCCCAGGGTCAGGGTGAGAGCCAGAAGCAACGTTCTTGTTTGCATGGTGAAGATTTCTCCGAGGTCTGTGCGTCCTGGCGATGAACAGACAGAGACGTGCTTGAGTTTTATAGTGGGGTCTGATCAGAACTGTCATGTGGGCTCAGATGGGAAGTGGAGCCACAGCATTGATTAGCAACGGCCATGTCACGTGAGCTCCAGAAACTGAAGCGTTTGGCCATTAAATGTGGGTCCTTCTGTCTAATTAGAGATGCCATACATGTGTTAGTCTGTTGTAAGTCAGCTGATCTGTGTTTGACACAGATTTGTGCTCTGATCGAGTGTGTTTAAGGCTGTTTAGTAATATGTGTAACTTCTGAGGGATGATATGCCTTTTATTTATGCTGTACACACACAAAGACAGACACAAACAGCCTTTTATATCTATAACTATTTGAAACAGTAAGATATTCATATAGTAATTTCAAAAAGATTCACAAGCTTGGTGTAGACAGCAACATCAAATGTCTTTGAATACATTTACAGCTCATATTTTATACAGTGTACTGTTCAAAAGTGTGGTCGAAATTAATACTTGTATTCATCAAGGATGCATTAATTTATCTAAAGTGACATTAAAGGCATTTATAATGTTACAAAAGATTTCTATTTTAAGTTAATTCTGTTTTTTTTTTTTTTTTTTTTTACTTTCTGTTCATCAAAGAATCCTGGAAAAAAATTATCATGGTATCCACAAACATCTTAAGTGGCACAATTGATTTCAACATGGATGATAATAATAATAAATGTTTCTTTAGCAGCAAATCATCATATTAGAATGATTTCTGAATGATCATGTGACACTAAAGACTGGAGTAATGATGTTGAAAATTTAATGATTACATTATTCAATATATTAAACTGAAAAGTTTTTTGTAAAATGTTGAAAGAATTAGTTATATATCACAATATTACTGTCAAATGCAGCCTTAGTGAGCATAAGAGACAAACAGTGAACAATCTTACCAACCCCAAACTTTTGAACGGTAGTCTATGAATACAAATGTATAGGCCTATATGCATTTTTTACATGCAGTATCATAAAAGGTGCATATTACAAGGGTACATTGCCGAGAAAGGCAGTAATGTAGCACGAGGCAGCAGACTGCACGCAATGCTGCTTTGATTGGATGTCATGTATTTGACCTTTTACGGCATTACCATTTTCCTGTTTTTACACTAGACTAGAGGATGAATTCTGCCTGTTAGGAATGCATGCTCAGTTTTAATGCTATTTTAAGGTGGAGTAGAAGTAAATGAACAGTAAAACTCAGCATTTTGTTCGTGCACACCCCCAGGGATACAGGTACCCTTACAAGAAAATGTGATTCATCAGACCAGGCAACCTTCTTCTATTGCTCTATGATCCAGTTCTGATGCTCACATGCCCATTGTGGAGGTCAGGGGGCACTGACCAGTCTGTGGCTACACATCCACATATGCAGCAAACTGTGACGTGCTGTGTGTGTTCTGACACCTTTCTATAATGGGCGGCATTACGTTTTTCAGCAATCTGAACTCTTCCGTGTGATCGGACCAGGTGAGCTAACCTTTGCTCCTCATGTGCATCAGTGAGCTCTGGGCGCAAATGACCCTGTTCAACGATGCCGGTCCAATGGTTGTTCTTCCTTGCACCGGCACTAACCACTACATACACTAAAAAATGCTTGGTTGTTTCAACCCATGTTTGGGTCAAACCCCAAACCCAATTGTTGGTTACAATTTTTTTTAGTAGGCTACATTTTTAAACCCAACAGTGGGGTTTGTCCATATCTGACCCAAGTCCCCCAGTCGTCTAGCTCAGTCCTTTCAAGTCCTTGTCCTGGGGATCCACCGCTCTGCACATTTTGTATGTCTCTCTTAAGGCAAGCTCACAACACACGACTTTTGGCTAGATTTTGCTGTTTGAGACAGAAGGTCTGCGACAAAAAACCCAAATTGTGGCCAAATCGGTGCTCGTTGTGGTTGCTGATGCTCGTCAAAAATGTCTCGAACAGTCACAGACACTGCAATATTTTCAAACCGGTTTGCTATCATCGCCACGTGATCTAGTCGAGTGAGCGATTAAACAACATGGTAAACTGCTCTAATGATATCATGCACCTTAATGTACATTAATGACAATTTGATCATACTTGTTAATAGTAATATACTAACAAGAAATATCTTTTTAAAATGTAAATAAGTGGTCTTTGCACTATACTTAACATTATGATTTATTTACTATCAGTTTTTGCTGAACAGACATGGACAGCTTTTTTCTGCACATATGACTTGGACAGCAAGCGTGAGCAGTTCTCTAATGTCCTGCGTGAATTCATGTAAGAAAACGTTTTTCCATTGTTGGTTTGGCCACTAGGCCAAAGATCTTGTAGTTTGTGCACCTTATCGGCATTGTATATTATGAGCGCTGCTAATGCCCGGTGCACATTGTATGATTTTGGGCTGTCCCAGACGAAAGATGGCCAATAGTGGAGATTTATGTGGATGTGGCTCCTAAACGTTGGTCCTGCTGCGTCATACAGTTAGAAAGGTTCAAAGACGGCCAGTCTTGCAACCAAAGATAGCCTGCGATCACGCTTAAAACTAGATTAAAGACGCATCTCTTTAGCCAAGCATTCACATAATGCTTACCTTTTATACTACTGTTGAATCAGATTGAATGCATTAATATTATGAACAGCAGCTATGCTAATTATTTCCCATCTGCTTTTCTGCTGTTATCTCGGGACGCTAGTCCCGAGGTAAATAGCGTTTGTCAGCTCCAGTTTGTATCCAGCCTCTCACGGAGACTTCAGATGCCCCAACACCTGCGATGAGACGACTAAACGCCTGTGAAGAGATGACTCAACGCCGGCGATATGTTATGCCCTAAATTAAAACATGATTAACTGACTGTATTTTTTTCTATGTACATTTCTGAAATATGTATGGTACATTTCATACAATATGTATGGTGAAAAGCGCTATACAAATAAATTTGAATTGAATCAAATTTTCTGACAGTGTCAGAAATGTATTATCTTCATCTCAAGTGTGTTTGCTGCTACGACCTACGTCTACTGACTAGCAAATTAAAATGCAACATAAAATGGCGCTAAAACTTAAAGCTACTTACCTCAAGCTCCATTTGCAAAATTCACATGCCAAGTTGGCCTCTTTTCCCTAACCATGACCACATCCATATTCTGCTCTTTCGCTTCCTCCTTTTTTTTAAAGTGTGATTCATCGCTCTATTTGTTAACCATGCTGATGATGTTTTATTCTTATTAACTTGCATTGTAGCCAGAATTCAATAGGTCTCATCATCGTACAGCCTTCATACATATCGTACCCAAGTTTATTAGATCCATGTCGTACAGTGTGATTTGTAATGATTTTAAAGGATTGGTGAAGTGTGTAGGCATAAGACAAGATGACGACAAACGACAAAATTTGTTGTGTAGTTTGAGCACCACTGCGATTCATGTAGTCTTATAGCTCTGTAGTGTGAACTGACTTGCTGCCTATATCCCACACCTTGACAGGTGCCAATGTAACATAACCAATATCATTCACTTAGTCTGTAAGTAATTTGAATATTCTGGCTAATCAGTGCAAATTCCTACTGAATTCAGCAGTATAAAACAGTCACAGTGAGGGGGATTTTTCACATTATTACATCTGTGATTAAAATGACAAAACTGTTTGAAATTATCTTGAGGTGAAATTCTGAAGGCATAGAAGGGAAAATTGAAAAGCATGGATAATCTAAATGGATGAAAGTCGAACATACACTGACAGAGGTGTGAGACAGGTGGAAATGAGACAATTTCTTAAAAGGTTTGGATTGTCTCATGTTGTTCTGCATTGTGCGTCAGAGGCTAAACTCATCTCTCACAATCACCACCCTGACATCTGACACTGGAGCACCCATGCTGCCATAGTTTTCTCTATTTTTAGCTTTAGCCATCTGGAAAAATCACAAAGTCATGGCGTGCCGAGCACAACGTTTTCAAAATCATCCTGACATTACAACCTTTAAGGTTTCAAATAAAACCTGTAAGGCAGAATTACGCGATTCCTCGGGACATGTTCAGTCATGTCTAAGTGATATTTCTTCTTTCAATTTCAAATGAACAAGGGACATCAAATACACACAGTGTAGTTATCACACAGAAAAAAGCACACTGAAATCAAATGGACAAAATCATTTGAAAATTCTTCCGTTTTGTACGCAAAGAAATGTGCATTTTTATTACATGATAGTCCCACCAGTCTGACGTCTCAAAAGTTTAGGTGAGTTAACTATCCAGTTGTCCAGTTTGTCTGCATATTCCAGCTCTTTCTCCTATTTTTTCTGTTCAAGACTCAAATCAAAAGCAGTTCCAATGTCTCCCAGTATCAGGCACAATCCTCTTCAGTCAGCGGCGTACAAGGAGCTTCACTGAGACCTTGACAGAATGGCAGACATAATTCATTTTGATTCGCAGTTATTAGTGATCCTTGAAGAAACACTGAAATAGAATAAATCACACAGTATTGTGCTTTTCAGTAACACCGAGCAAAAGAGATATCTCTGAGATATCGATGGAATTTGATCTCTATGAGTACTAGAAGTTTTATAAATCCATGAGGTATTTGCTTTTGACAAATAGTTTTTTCTCCCTGTGATGCAGAGATGGAATCCATGCTCCAGGCACATCCTCTTGAGATACAGTTATTGAGTCTTCGGTTCTGCCAACTTCTCTGGCTCCATATCCAAGTCGGTTAAGCAGCAGTAGCACATGATCTGAGCATACTTGGTGAAAGAATCTGTCACAGAGGAAAGAGAGAGAAACACGTTAGTGGGGATAAAGAAGCTATAGAATCACACGAAGAAATATATATTCACATAATGACAGCAAACATGATATGTCAGTCACATAGCCTTCCTTCTTTCAGACTAGAACATTATGTGATGGTACAATCTCATAAAACATTTCTGAGTCTGTATTTCAGGTCCGTCTTCAGACCAAAAGAAAACATCCATAACCTCTCTTTGGTTTTCATTTAAATAATAGATTCACACAAAAATGTATATCAGTTA